TGAAATTGAAGATGCAAATGATTGATTTTGAAATACTACCATTTACTAGTAAAATAAGATGTCGGAAACGGAAGTGTGATGTTGGTATGTTCATTTTCCAAAAGTCGAAAATTATTAAACAGGTGGGAACAACGAAAGTTTCTATTCCAAAACCGATTATTGTTACGGTTGGTTCAGATAATATTGCGGATGAAATATTTGCCTTCGAACCTACACAGCATATGAATCTTTGTTATCCAAAACCAACATGCAACAAAAATACTTTAGTCTAAAGTATTTGATAAATATTAATTAATTGATCACATTATTAGCGATCGAACTGTGTCAGGACTTGCATGATCATATGATGATATTTGGTGTCAGTTTCGAGTTTCGAGTCTAAGACCACCTGCAACGCAGGTTTTTATTGAATCCTTAGGATAATCCTTAGATTTTGGGGAATAAAAAAATATTAAATAAATTAGAAAGGCTAAGGATTAATCCTTAGTCAAAGATTCTAAAGGACAAGTCCTTGTTGACGTGGCAAAGGAAAAACGTTTCTTTTTTCTCTTTTTTCTTCGACGCTCTCTTCCTCTTCTCTCTGGAACATGGAAACGGCGATGATAGCGATGATGATTTAGACCATGGCGAGGATCGCAATCAAGATCATGGAGATACCGATGATGTTGTTCCCGAGGATGAATTAAGAAGAAGATCATTAGACAGGTAAGGGGGTTTTGATTCCTTTTCTATCTCTCTCTCAGGCCTTTAAGCTAGCTATAAGGGGTTAGGGTCTGAATCAAGTCTCTCTGATTCGTTGCAGGTTGAATACTACTTTCAGTGCGTTAAAACAGAAACGATTTCTTGTTTGTCGTTATCTCTATGTTTCTGTTCATCTCTTTCATTCAATTCAACTCTGAAAACCAAAAACAACAAAGGATACTCTTTTCTTGTTTGTGTGTCAGTTGTATTATGTTTCGATAAGACTTGACTAGTTTGTCGATTTAAGTTTGTAGTGTGTTCATAGGTATTTTCCTCTCTGTTACCTCTTTACTAAGCCAGTTTGATTAGTAGTTTACTAATGATAAGTAATCGCGTTGTTGATTTTCTTTATCTGTAGCTGTAGGTTATACTTTACAATTGGATCATCTGTTAAGCTCGCTTTGGTCTACACGGAACATCGATTGTTTTGAGGCTTAACACACTTCACAAAAGGTTCCAAAGATGTCATCTGATGAGAAGAACCTTATAGAAATCTTGGAGGAAGGTCACAAAGTCGATATAGTTAAGTACATTAACTATGTCAGTGCCCCTCAAGCTGGTGCTATATGTACCAATGGCCACACGATGCCTCAGCTCCATCTGTACATCCGCTAGATCAAACTGGGACATCCATAAGATTGCTGTTGCTCACCATCTAGGACCAGTTCCTGTTGGAGAAACCAGTGTCTTCATTGCTGTCTCATCTGTTCACCGTGCTGATGGTTTAGATGCTTGCAAGTTCTTGATCGATGAGCTCAAGGCGACCGTTCCGATATGGAAGAAGGAGGTGTACACTAATGGAGAGATTTGGAAAGAGAATAGTGAGTTTCTCTGTGTTAGATTTATTATCTTTATCTTTTATGCTATGTTTAGAGATGGCTGAAGAAGAAACTTAATGTTTTAGTTTCAGGTTCAACTAGAACCGATAACTTCATGGTCTGTGGTCCGAGGAAACTTGTCTGAAGCATCAAACTTAATTTGGTGCAGCAGAGGCCGTTCTCAGGGTTGCTGCAACATGACACGACAAGAGGCTTTTTGTCAAGGCAAGTTTTTTTCTTTTGCTTACCAACTTACCATGTGTTAGAAGTTATTCTTTTATCATGATTCATGATGCCGTCAGTCTTTGTGTTTCAAATAGGAATTGGCCATGTTTTTTTATTCAAACTCTTGTGTTAGTTAGCTTGTCACTTAAAATTTCTCATGTTTAACAATCAAAAAAAAAAAATTCCTAAGGACTCCTAAATGAAATCCACCATTGGACTGAATTTTTGTTTAAAATCCTTAACTATTTAAAAAACAAAAAATAAAAACAAAAAATACTGTTATATTGCTTAAGGACTCCACAATGGAGTCCACCATTGTGGATGCTCTAAGGTGAGTTTAATCACAATTGACAGTGGCGTGGAATGAAGGTAACAAAAGAACTAAAAGGTCCTAGCTAGATCAAAAGAAAAAGTGTAAATGCAAAAAATACTACAATCTTTATTATAACTGTAGCATAGATTCAAATAGAAAATACAATGTCAATCAATGCTTTTACCCATCTATATTTGATCTAACAATATTTTTTTTGTCATCGACATATAGTTTCATGGAAATTCTGCAAACAGCAAACTCAACTGTTAATTCTGCAACTATATGGACGATAAAGACAATTGTATCTTGACGATGTATGCAATAATGTTCGTCACTGAATTCATCGTTTTTGGATTATAAATGATCTCTAGAGTGTGAAAATTTACTTTTACAGTTTTAATATATTTTAAATCATTTGTAAAGGATGATTCTTCTCCTAATACTAAAATCATCTTCACCAATTAAGATAATCTATTGTAAATATGATCTGAAATTGACGTAAACTCTTCATACATTTTATTAATGTTTCTACTTCCAAATGAAAGACTAGCTCTGATGTTTCTTCCTATCACTAATTCATAAAAATCTCTAAAGTTCAATAAATCATGATACTATTTACCACCGAAAATTCTTAATTTTCAATAGACAACAGATTTTCCAGTAAAATATCTTAAGAACAACAATCGTAGGGCCATATAGTGGTGGTGCTTTTGTCTGTCTGGATATATGCGTTTCACTTAATATTCAGATTTCACCATATATTTCCTATTATTTCATAAAATACCATTCATCTAGCAATTAAATATGAACTATCCTCGTATGTTTCAATATAAGTTGTGTTTAAAATTTTTGCAAATAAATTAAGAAATATAAAATTTCAAATAATTTATCTTAATTATATAAAGAGAAAATTCTATATAAATACCCCAACTAAATTTTATTAATCTTTTTAATACCCAAACTTTTTCACTACCCAGTTTAATACCTCAACTAATTATTCTCCCCATTTTAATACACCAACTTTTATAACTGTATCTATTTTAATACTCAAACTTTGTTTATTTTAATTAACAATACTAATAAATTTCAAATGAAATTAAAAAAATCTCCAAAATCTAAGAAAAAATATTTAAATTTTCTAAGTTTATTTGAAGATTTAAGAAATAAGGTAAACAAACTCTGTAGAAAATTTAATGTTTAAAAAAAAAAGTTTTTGAAGGAAAAAATAATAATTTACTTTTTATTTCAAAAAACCAAGCTAAATTCAATATATAAAACTTTAAAAACTTATTACAAAACTTAAGATTATAAAAAAATTATTTAATTTCGTTACTCAAACATATAATAAAATTAATTTTTTTGTGAAGTTTAGACATTTTTAAAATTTCATTGGAAACTTATTAGTATTGTTAATTAAAATAAACAAAAATTTGAGTATTAAAATGGTTACAGTTATAAAAGTTGATGTATTAAATTGGGCAGAATAATTAGTTGGGGTTTTAAACTGGATAGTGAAAAAGTTTGGGTATTAAAAAACTTAATAGAATTTAGTTGAGGTATTTATATGGAATTTTCCCTTATATAAAATATCATTAGATAAAATTAGTTCAATCAATAAAATACAATATTTTGTAATTGATCAAAAAGTTCAGATGATATTAAATTATATCTAAAAGACTGAGAATATCAAATTATTTTGCAACAAATGTTTTCTTTAAACACGGCTTAAAGTGATACGGATGGAGTATATATCAACATATAGGATTTCTTAAATGTATATAGGGCAAAAGTTTAAGGTTTAATGATATGCTATCTAATGTTATTCAATAATCACTCCAAAATCGAGCTTTAGTTCCTACAAAATGATAAAAACAATATAAGCATCGCTTTCCAAGTAGACTAATATAGCCAGGAATTGTAAATGTTATCCATCGATTCTCTTATCTTCTCAACAGAAGGTTGATGCCTTTGTTTTTGAAGTTTTCTGCATATTGATGTGGTCCAGCACAAACCATAGTTGATAGTAGTTATCTTTATTTTTCTTTTAATCCAATATTCTTCGGAAAATCTAATTCAGCATTATTTTTTTGTTACTTCTTCAAGTTTTCTCCTGAATATCGACATAGTAAAACTCCAATATTTTATACGCTGCTGGCTGTAGTCCCAACATATAAAAGAGTGAATCAAACTGCACAGACACAGACAACAAAATATGAAGCCATAGATTAACCCGATCTCTTAAATTGGAATTCTTAATTTCGTTTAAGATATATTTTAAATTTTAAATTTTAAATTAAATAAGTTAAAAACTATCTATTAAATAAAAGATATAAGATATGTCTCTTAATAGGAAAAATGTTACAAAAAATTAAATCATGAATTAAAAACTCCAAATAAAAAAACCGGATTAACATTAGTCCATCATCTCTAAAATTTGAAGATGAATATATTGAAAATAAAGATGTAGATGTATATCAACATAATTAAATGTCATGCTGATTACCCCCGGACTTTATTCGCCACAATCAAAACTTTCGATTTCCACAGAATCACGAGAATAAGTTTTTACTATCCAACTTTTCCATGGAAAATAATAAATATATAACAAAATTAAAATGTAACAAAGTCCAAATACAAGAAGTGATTGGGCAGAGAAAACGACTGGTGGTCCATAAGGATATCCATCTGATTAAGAAGCTGACCAATCAAAACACTAAGAAGAGGATCATCTTCAAGAACTCGACCAATCAAAGTCGAGATAAGACTTCTACATGGCCCTAATGGGTAGCATAAACAACAAAAAGTGCATTAAAACATAACTTTAATCACACTCCTAATATACTAATATTCAAAAAAAAACTCACATCATGTGGGACATGTACAAGACTACAACACCGCTAAACTTAACAACTCATTTCCTCATAAAAACAAATGGTAGCCTCCCTTTTTATAGCCACTTCTCGATAACTGAAACCTTTGTAGAGTGAACATACTCTAAACTTTACATAGTCTTTTTGCAACTGAGACTTGGCAACTAGTTTCTACTAAAAAAGTAAAGGTTTCTTCTCGTTGATGGGGTGAAATAAAGAGTAATAACATGATGAAAAGTTTGGCTAATGCGGTTGGTGGAAAGACGGCAAGGGCATGCGATAGCTGCGTGAAGAAGCGAGCGCGTTGGTATTGTGCAGCTGATGATGCTTTCCTTTGCCATTCTTGTGACGGTTCGGTCCACTCAGCGAACCCTCTTGCCTGTAGGCACGAGAGAGTTCGCTTGAAAACGGCTAGTGCCGGAAAGCATCGTCGTCACGCCTCCTCTTCCTCCTCACCACCTCATCCAGCCACGTGGCATCAGGGATTTACACGTAAAGCTCGGACACCACGTGGAGGCAAGAAAAATCACACGATGGTTTTTCATGATCTTGTGCCGGAGATGAGCTCGGAGGATCAGAGTTATGAAGTGGAAGGGCAGCTCATCTTTGAAGTACCGGTGTTGAACCCAATGGGTGATGAAGAATATGTGGAGACAAAGAGTGTGTTCCCGATGATGCCCGTATGTTTCAAGAGAAGTGAGGAAGAAGAGGACAACACTGAGAGTTGTCTTAATGGGTTATTCCCGACCGAAATGGAACTGGCGCAGTTCTCAGCTGATGTGGAGACTCTCCTCGGTGGAGGGACAGATCGAGAACTACATGCCATGGAAGGGCTAGGGTTTGGTGAGGTGCTAAAGATTGAAAAAGAAGAGGAAGAAGTCGAAACAAGAGAAGTGTGTGAGCTAGATGACGCTAATGAGACTTCTCCATTTGAAATAAGCTTTGATTACGAGTCCTCACACAAGACGGCATTCGAAGAAAATGATGAGAAAGAAGACGTGATGAAGAATATAGTGGACGTGGGAGTGAATGAGATGAGTGGTAGGATTAAAGAAGAGAAGAAGGAGAACGTTCTTATGCTTAAACTGGACTACGAAACCGTGATTTCAACTTGGGGTAGCCAAGGAACCCCATGGACCGCCCTCGAGCCACCTGAAATAGACATGCTTTGTTGCCCATCCAGTTCCATGGTACGTATACTTCTCCTATCTGCTGATCAATTATAATATTTATACAACCGGATGTTTCATGTTAGAAACGTAAAAAAGTCAAATTTTATTGCAATTCAGGGATAAGTCTCAAACAATCCAGTCAAACATTTTTTTTTTGTTACTGGATCGCACCACCGCTTTTTATTATTACATAATAACGTCATAAAGAAATCATTATCTTATCAACTAAACTTAATTATTTCGTGAATAATTAGGGTGAAAGTGGAGGAAAGACTCATCATCACAACCACTTCCGCGGCCTAGGGTTGCACATGAGAGAGGCTGGGGATGGAGGAAGAGAAGCTAGGGTTTCAAGATACCGAGAGAAAAGGAGAACAAGGTTGTTCTCCAAGAAGATAAGGTACGAAGTACGTAAACTGAATGCTGAGAAAAGGCCTCGAATGAAAGGAAGGTTCGTGAAGAGATCTTCAATTGCTGCTGCTCACTAGTCACTCTAAGAAAGATCTTTATGAATATATAATATATATAGTAGATATCACTGTGCTTTACTCTTAAATATTTTGTTGCTGATTTTTGGTGATTGTTAGCTTTTTTTTGTGTGGTGATTGTTATCTTTTCTGTAATGTAGAAAGTTTTGCACGTTTTGTGAGGTGCGTGTATGTATATATAGATATTTATCACCAAAAACTGGACTATCTTGTAAGGTCTTGTTAATATTGTTCATGTAACGTGAATTTTATAACAACCAAAACAAACATATGGGTATGGGTGTCACAAATACATTTCTACATCTCAAACAATATGAGAAAATATAAAGAGAACATGTTGGTCATGTATTGAGTAGTGTGTGATCCATAGATAAATGGGAGAATTCTAATTTTATCAAAATTTGATATCATTTTTCAAATTTATCTTTTAAATACATAAAAACCGAAAATTATGATAAAAAAACTAAACTACCTTCTTAACATTCCAAGCCTTCTCTTTTCAGTCCATAATCCATCAGCTCGCACATGAAGCCCATAGGATCTGCTAAATTGCACATAGGTATATCACACTCGATTTGTAAATACCAAACTCGTTTTAAGGCCGATAACGGTAGTAAGCTTAAATGGGGCATCAGATAGAATTTACAAAGTAACCGAAATAGGGTATTGGTTTCAAAAAGGAAAAAAAAGTAACTGAATAATTTGTAAACTCATCTGAATTGTGCATACATATAAGATCATCATTATCAAGGATTTCTTAAAGTGGAATTCTTAGAACATAATTATTGGAGATTTTTTATAGATGAAGAATTTAACAGGATTAAAAAACCGTTTCTTAACTTTTAACTAAAAAAGCTAAGAGCCGGTTCTTAAAACTTTAATTTAAGAATCAGTTCTTAGCTTTTTTAATTAAAAGTTGAGATGTTTTAAGTGTTTAAAAAAGCAAAACAACGTTGTTTAAATGATTTTTAAAACGATATCATTTACAGAGTTAACATAAATCTATTTTTATAATCACGTTTAAGTGTTGACTATTCGGATTTTTTAAATAGTCAAATCAACAAAATATGAGAATTAAAATGATTAATATTTGAAAGTAGATAATATTTTTGTTTAAACACGAGTTAGAAGTAGATAATATTTGTGTTTTCTCATGAATAAATAGAAATAATATCTTTTTGTAAATCTACGCCAACTTACCATCTTCACAAAATTACATGATTTTTTGAGTGTCTAGATTTTAAGATCAACTAATACTCACTCTGTTTCAAATTATATGATGTTTTAGAATGTTTAAATTGTTTCAAAATATAAAATGTTTTAAAGTTTTAAGGTATCTTTTGAAGTTTTAAGGTTAACTTTAACTTTATTGGAAACTGTTCAATCAATAAAATTTTACAGTTTTTTTAATTGGTTGAATGATTATAATATTATATCTTTTAAAATGTTTTTTAGAATAATATAATTTTTTAATTTTTGTGCACCAAACCAAAACATCATATATTAAGAAACGGAGAGTATTTCTTAACATTTTGACCCAAAAAAGATCAACGAATATTCATCAACAATAGTATCAACATATAATTGTATATTATAAAGTGGAAAAGATATTTGATACAATTCTTTTTTTTTTCCCCATCCAATTGTCTACATTGTAAATTAATAAGGAGTGATTTAGTGTATTGCCCCAAATGGAGGCCCAAATTGGTGAAGTACCCACCGAATGACATATAGGGCCCGAGAGCTACCCTGACGATGGCAAAAAGACGGAACTAACCTCGTAGAAAGGATTTGTTCTTCGGCGCTTGTGTCAGTCGACTGACACAAGATATCCACGCCGATTCTAATAGCTGCCTATCCTACTCTGAAACCTAGGACGACTTGTGTGCAATTAAAACACGTTTCCTCGGTTATCCGTGATTTCTGTTTAAGCGCAACATCCTAAGCTACCTTGGAAAAGTTAAGTGTACGTAATACCATACTAATTTGAAGATAAAAGAAGGTTGAGTTGGGTAAAACTTTAGTTTTCAGAACCAAAAAAAACTGTGGGAGAAAGANTGATAATTGTAATGTTACACCGTAACAGGTTTGGAAGATGAGGCACCAAGTTCGTGTCGTTGTTGGGGACTGGGAACGAGGCGCTCAAGGCGCATGGAGGTTCAACGTGGATAAAACCATGATAAGAGCTGACGTCGAGCTTAAGGAGAACGAGAGTTACATCTCACTTGTTGGTATGGTGAGGGAAAAGTTCAACGTATACCCACTGTATGGAGTCAACGCCCCTGTGTTGCTGACTTACCACTACCCAGACCTTGAAAAAGAGCCTGAGGAATACTCAGCACCACCCATCGAAATAAATGAGGACGACGACGTGGCTGTTTTCATGGCTGTTAGGGTTGACAATGTGTGGCAGGAGCTGTATGTCACATTGGGTGGAGAGGATGTCTACAACTACAGGAGGCAGAGGGAGGTGGAAGATGGAATGACAGCTTCAGAACAACTAACACAGGCGCGCGGGTTAGTGAGTATCGAAGGTAAAATAACCTTTTCCCGTTAAAGAAATATTTTCCTGTAAATGTTTTTTGTATCGGAAAAGAAAGTATCTCATAAAGTAGTCCTTCAAGTAAAAAAGAAATTTAGCAGTTAGCGACGCAGTTATCGGGTAAATATATTATTAACTGGGTGATGTCAGTGGAAAAACTAGGGTAAACATGTATTAATTGAGAAATTTATTGTGGTTTATGTTTGCAGATCTTACTGCGAGAGGGTACATGGTTGTGTACGGGGAAATACTAAGGGGAATATGCACGGCTGATGAAATGAGCATACTGGAGCAAACCGCCCTTGGGTGTGGACCAAATGATCTTCAGCTTGACCCGACGATGACAGTGAACCTAGAATCGTCAGAGGGTTCTTCTGGCATCCCTCTTAACCAGGCGGGGGCAATAATAACAGGGGCTGCTATAAGAGAAGCAGAGGACACCAACGCGGAAGTTCAAACTGAAGAAATCACCTTCGCGTTAGGTAATACTATTTTTTTAGAGGAAAAAAATCAAATTATACGTGAAGGAGATAGTTTTATGTAACCGGAATGTGTGACTGCTAATTATTAGGGGCAGAAGGTAATGAAGTGGAGGAGATAATACGGGACAAGGGTAAGGGAGTAATGATGAGTGATGAGTCAGTAGAGAGACCATTTCAAATTGGAGCTTCTTCAAATTTCCAATTTGGAGATCAACTGATGTCTGGAGGGAATGCGTCAAACATGAGTAATAATCTTAATGTTTTAATAAATATTTTATGTTAAATAATTAGTTAACAGGTAAGGCAAAAGTTATGGGATAACATAAGCATTATCAGGTACTGGATCAGCGACACAGCTGTCCCTAGCACTGGGAGTTGACGAGCCTGTTGCTGACGATGACGTTTCATTGGCGTGGATGCGAAACTTGAGTCAAGAGTTTGACGAGGCGGGGGGTAGCAAATGTTATGGAAAGGTCATTAAAGGAAAGGATACTACTAGGCTGCCTTTTTGTGGTATTGAAGTTGGAGGTATAAAAATAATTTTAATAGTGGAGGATAAAATGATACATTCTAACAATAAGACATGAACGTATTTAGTTTACGGTTAAACTGTGAAGTACCAGAAAACTAAAATATTTACTGAAATTGAAAAGTTTACCCGTCATATAATATGGTGCAATAAATACGATTTTGTTTGTGCTTATCAGGACGTGTGTCAGATGAGCCAACAGGAGAGCTTTTTGTGGGGAAGATATTTGGGAGCAGGGAAGCCTTCAAGCTCCATATGACCCTACATGCAATCACAAACAAGTTTAGGTTCCTCATCAAGAAGTCAGAGCCAGGCAAAATGGTACTACACTGTAGGGGAGCAGCGTGTGGATGGAGAGTGTATGCGGCGAAGATGGGGGGATCTGCAAGCTTCGAAGTGAGGACTTTAGATAACATCCACACGTGCTCGGTGGCTGATAGGTGGGAGTTCAGACATCATGCGAACTCCAAGTTTGTTGGAGATATGATTAAGCATAGGTATGGTCCTGCAGCTGGTGTTGGACCAAGACCAGGAGCTATTAGGGACATAATAAGGCACGATCACAGCATCCCAATATCTTACTGGAAGGCTTGGAAGTCACGGGAGCTTGCGATTAACCAAGGAGTTGGTGACGCGGTGGCGTCATACCAAAGCCTACCATCGTATCTGCTAATGTTGTAGACGACTAACCCAGGAACTGTGGTGGCGTTGGAGACAATGATAGCGGCAGAAGGTGCGCAGAGGTTCAAGTACCTCTTCTTCGCCTTTGGCGCAAGCATTGAAGGGTACCCTTTCATGAGGAAGGTAGTGATTATTGATGGGACACACCTAAAGGGGAAGTATGTTGGATGTCTGCTGACTGCTAGTGCGCAAGACGGGAACTACCACATTTACCCCATCGGGTTTGGAATAGTGGATAGCGAAAATGATGAGGCTTGGACATGGTTTTTCAGACAACTATCAGCTGTAGTTCCGGACTCTGAAGAACTAGTATTTGTCTCTGATCGTCACAATTCAATATACGCCGGGATAAGACAGGTTAGACAACAAATCCTTATCATGCAGTAGAAAATGAAATTTGAATTCAGTATTATTATTTCCCGTTAATTAGATTATTTCCCGTTATTTTAAATTTTAACGGAAAACCCAATAATTTACTGCATATGTTTTTGTCTGTGATATAGGTTTACCCAATGGCTCATCACTGCGCCTGTATTCTGCATCTTCAGCGGAACGNGGTAACACCTAAGGTTACCGCAATCTTGGCGCGTAATTTCCAGTTCTCAACGGGATTCAATGTCCGGCATATCATTGAAGAGGAGTATGAAGTTCGCGATAGCTTGGGGATGTTTTACCGTGTTGATCTGAAGAGGAAGAGCTGCTCATGCAAGGAATTTGATAAGCTCCGACTCCCTTGTGTCCACGCACTTGGTGCTAACAGAGCTCATAAGGTGGAGGACTTAGTGGCTGTCGAGTACAGCAGCGTTTACTGGAAGAAGGCGTATGAAGGTGGGATAAACCCGGTGAGCATTAACCACCTCGACATAGGTGGATCCGACTCCTTCAAACTGCTCCCGCCAAACACACGCAGGCCTCCAGGAAGGCCGAGGAAGAGCATGATACTATCCGCAGGAGAAATAAGGGTAAGGAACATTATTAAAAATTATTTTTACCTGTAATTATACTTATTAACGGGAAATATTATTAATTCCA